GCCAAAGCCACCAAAGCCTCAGGGCCCAGCCCCACCACTCCTCGGCCGAGATGCTCCACCAGTTGCAACAAGCGCAGATCCACCCGGCGCCGGCGGAGATGTTGCAGCAAATGCAACAACCCAGCAGCCACTACTCGTCTGCGGAAATCTTCCACCACCAGCCCAAGATCCATCACTCCTCGACGGAACTCCTCCATCAAGCTCACCAGAGGATGCAGAGGCAGCCTCACCACTCCTCCACGGAACTTCTCCATCAAGCCCACCAAATGCACCGGGGGCAGCCCCACCATGTGTCCAACGAGCTGCCCCATCAGTTACACCAAACTCAACCCCACCATTCCTCCATGGAGCTACTCCACCAGTCCCATCAGATGCACCAAGGCAAGCCCCATCATCACTCCTCCACGGAGCTTTTGCATCAAGTCCAGAAAGAGCCTTCCCCCCAACTGCTTCAGATGAACCGGGAGAGCCACTCGCATCAGAGCCAAAGGAGTCTTAAAAGCCACCATCAGACCCAAGCCTCACCGCAAGGCCAGACGATCCACCAAACGCATCAGCCCCAGCCCGTCAAGCCACACCCCCAGAGGCCCCATTCAATCCAGCAGACTCACCAGCACTCCAGCACCCCTCACATCCACCACATCCACCACATGACCCCGCAACCTCCGCCGCAGGACTACCAGCACCAGATTCACGTAATCCATCCGCCGCAGCAACCCCACAGGTCCCACCAACTCCTATCGACATTCCAACCACTCCAGCCCACGCTCTCCACGTTCCAGCCCCTCCCCCAGCATAGCCAAAACCAGTCGGCCCCACAAACGACTCGTCCTCATTCCCAACCGTCCCACCACCTGATGCAGTCCCAACACCAGCTCCAAAGCCAGTCCCAGCTCAAACAGGCGCAGAGCCAAACTCAACCCCAGTCGCTCCCCCACTCTCTATCTGACCCCACCGAGCATCTGGAGCCTCACCCACCACCGCCACCCCCTCTGCCTCCCCCGTGTTCCCCTCCACCCTTACCCAGGCCCACCCTCTCCAGAATGGACTCCCATCACATGAGTGTCAAGAGGCTGCGGTGGGAGCAGGTGGAGAACTCTGAAGGCACCATCTGGGGCCAGGTGAATGTTGGGCGAGTTACACGTGGGGTGTGTAAGGCTACATTTTAGAATTTTAAGTTGAAAATGTATGCCGTCTACTTAAATGTGCCTTGGCCCAGTGCTTGGGAATCTCTGAGTTTACTTCCCATTAAATACAGCAGTTCTGTAAAATTCCACAAGATGGCAGTGCATCTTCCTTCACCCTATTCATTAAGACGCTTCTCCATTGGACCGGCTCCACACCACAACAGCTTTGCTCAGCTCCGATTGGTCGCTTTTTCATTACACTTTTATTGGTTTTGGTATCAGTTAGTGAAAAAATATGAAATTGACCATGTTTGGACAAATATGGTTTCCATCTGACAGTGATGTTATGTTTACTATTTTTTTACACTTGATCTGGAAATTAGGAATAAGTAATTCATTAAAATTGCTTTAACAGTAGGGTCCACTGTATCTATAGTTCATATTAACTCTGGAATTGTTAGTAACATTGCAACCCTTGTCGTATGCCTTGATAGTTGGGTGCAAATTCTGACCATGAGAAACTACATGACATGGTGAAGTATTTGGACCTGGAGATGCACTTTGGAACACAGAAAGGTTCTCGTAAGTTTATTTGCCGGCTTCACTTCTGACATACCTACTGTTTATTTAATGTGACATATTTTAAAAAATAATTATTGTACATGTTTTGTTTCAACTTACAATCATATTTTTAGTGCTTGCACCACTGCCGTTACCACAACTGGAAACATTTAAGAAAAAAGATGTCATTGAAATTCTGTCCCACAAGAAGGCCTACAATGCATGTAAGTGTGGAATTGTGCACTGTGTACTCACAACTACGTTCAAATGAATTGAACAGCTAATGTTGTCTGTAGGAGAATGTTAACGATGCTTCCCTTTCCACTCCCTTCTTTCTCCAGCCATCCTGATAGCCCACCTGAAGCTGTCCCCCGGAGAGCTGCGTCAGGTACTGATGAGCATGAGCTCCGACAGGCTGGAGCCGTCGCACATTAAGCAGCTGCTGCTATACGCCCCTGATGCAGAGGAGGTCAAAAAGTACCAAGAGTACAAGGAGGACCCCAGCAAACTCAGCGAGCCGGACCAGTTTGTACTGCAGGTACCTTAAAGTGCGGACCAGTCGCGTGTCTTTTTGGATTGATACTACCGCTCATACTACGTTCATATTGTAATGGTACAGTAGATTA